CCCTTCTGGGTGCGGGCCCGCTCCTCCGTTGCGGGCTGGGGGTCTTCCTCCGGGGCTCCTCCCGGGTGCTGGTGGAGGTCGTGAGCCTTGGGGGCGCCCGATCTGGGTTCAGGCCGCCCCAGCCACGGCCCCGTCCCACGCCGATGGGCCTTCTCATCTCGGTGGTCTTTCCCCGGTCCTGGGCGCCCTCCTGGTTGGAAGCTGTCTGCGTCGCCGCCCCCCGGTGGCTGGGTCTAGCCTGGATCGCGGCTTCCCGGCCGCTGGGCCCGGTCTGGGTGGCGATTTCCCTCTGTGGCGTCCACTCTGTTACGAGGGCACTGCCCGCCACGCAGCGGCTGCGCTGGATCGTATCCACCAGGTCCCCCAAGTCCGCCCAGAAGTGCGGGTAATCTTCCGTGATGGATTGGAAGAGGGCCCTGTACTTTCTGTTGAAGCTGCGGCGGGCCGAGCCTTCCATGACCTCGACAGCTTCTCTAATCTTCCTCTCGGTAGTTCGGGGGCCCTCCTCGAGCGCTCTATCTGCCCTTCTGACGGGTAAGAAGGGAGTGGGGGTTAGTCAAAAGGCAATCACTCGGGGGCGCGGTATGGCTTTAAATCCTTTACATGCACCTTTCCCTGCGGGGTATGGTCTAAACTGGCAAGCTCATACACCACAGATGACCGTACTTTACTAACTCGAAACGGGCCCTGAAACCTCGGCGCTAATTTCGCAGCAACATTCTGGGCTGCGTTCGATAAGGTGTGGTGCCTCCTCAATACTAGGCAGGGTCGGCGACTTTTGTGTGGATGGTGTGGACGAAGTCCACACCATGATCGCGGACCATGTGGAAATTCCACACCCTCGACACCAAGATACAATGTGTTTGTGTTCCACATGTTAACACTTTGTAGACATGCATTTTGTTTTTCACGATGTTTCACCAGTAAAGTTATAAATGTAAGATAGTCGCAAAAAGAACTAGAAAAATCCAGCTCCAGTCAGCGCGTTTGGACGCGTGTCACATGGAAACGCCTAGCGCTGGCCTCTGGCGGCATTCGCGTCGCACTAATCGTTGGACCTTTCAGAATTCCTACACTTACGTCCTTACTTGTGTCTTGTGTTTGTTGGTGTGCCATGTCCGTGTGAATGGTCTCCCTTATCCCCTCAATATACCTGGCTACAGCCTAAAGCCGTAATCACACTAGCCTTGGCGGGCTTCCGGTTCCGGCGCAGTTATAGTATAGAGGTGTTTTTTGGGTGAGAGCAGAGCAGTGAGAGTGAGAGGAGAATAGAAGCGGAGTGAATGTGAGAGAGTAGTGG